CTAGGGGTAACAAGGTGTGTGTTGTCCTGTGTGCATGGCAGAGTAAGACCAGTGACCTCAAATGGTGTCATCATCAGAGGCGTTACCTGACCATACTCGTGGTTGGTCTGTGAGAAAGACTGATCCAGTGAAGATTGGACCTGCTGGTTCCAGAGGGACAGTGTCCCTGGCATTTTCTAATCTACAGAACTTTATTACAGCAGGTTTGAAACTGGACCCGGCTGAAGTGAATCTTACTGTAACCCAAGACTAATGTGCCAGTGTACACACAAGTGAGAAGTTCTGCAGAACCACTGTGACTGTGATGATGACACTCATCTTCTCACTCAGCTCACTGCTGTCTCTCACCGTCTCCTGTGACGTAGTATCCAGGGAACTTCTTGAAGTAAGTGGTTTCAAATCTTTGATGATTTCCATAGACCGTCCTCATCACACCGGGCCACGGCTGTTTAAACACCTGCATGAAAGAAATCAACACACATGACCAGAGCAGAGAAGGCATGTGTGACAGAGATGAACTCAGTTGTGATGACAGCCTCCTGACCAAGTATCCTTCACTGGGCCCTTCCAACTCCTCTCCCGATTCATTCAAGATGGCTGGAACTACTCCAAAGAACGGGAACGTCTGAAGGAACCAAACAGAACACATTAACATCTCCCTCTGATTCAACTCTCATACAAAGTAGGAACAAAACAACTAAAACGGAAGGAAACAGCAGCATCATCACAAGCTTCTGTGTTTTAGCCCAAGTCAATTTCACTAAAAGGTTTCGTCTGTCGGAGATGTTGCAAATTATTAGTAAAAAGCAAAAGAGACGGGATGGTGCCTTTGTCCTATCTTTTATTAGTTTTAATATATTTTATTTTAGCCATTTCAAGTTAGATGTATTGCCATTTCCCCTACATTTGTCTGTCAAATGGCAAAATATTGCCATTTCCCCTACATTTGTCAGTCAAAATGTCAATTTGCCATTTACCCTACATTTTCGGTCAAATGGCAAAATACAAGTGCTGGCCAGTAAATTAGAATATCATCAAAAGGTTGAAAATATTTCAGTAATTCCATTCAAAACGTGAAACTTGTACATTATATTCATGCAATGCACACAGACCAATGTATTTCCAATGTTCATTACATTTAAATTTGATATTCATAAGTGACAACTAATGAAAACTCCAAATTTGGTATCTCAAAAAATTAGAATATTCTGAAAAGGCTGAATATAGAAGACACCTGCTGCCACTCTAATCAGCTGATTTACTCAAAACACCTGCAAAGGCCTTTAAAAGGTCCCTCAGTCTTGTTTTGAAGGCACCACAATCATGGGGAAGACTTCTGACTTAACAGCTGTCCAAAAGACAATCATTGACACCTTGCACAAGGAGGGCAAGACACAAAAGGTGATTGCTAAAGAAGCTGGCTGTTCGCAGAGCTCTGTGTCCAAGCACATTAACAGACAGGCGAAGGGACGGAAAAAATGTGGTAGAAAAAAGTGTACAAGCTCTAGGGATAACCGCACCCTGCAGAGAATTGTGACGACAAACCCATTCAAAAATGTGGGGGAGATCCACAAAGAGTGGACTGCAGCTGGAGTCAGCGCTTCAAGAACCACCACGAGGAGACTCATGAAAGACATGGGATTCAGGTGTCGCATTCCGTGTGTCAAGCCACTCTTGAACAAGAAACAGCGCAAGAAGCGTCTCGCCTGGGCCAAGGACAAAAAGGACTGGACTGATGCTGAGTGGTCCAAAGTTATGTTTTCTGATGAAAGCAAGTTCTGCATTTCCTTTGGAAATCAAGGACCCAGAGTCTGGAGGAAGAGCGGAGAAGCACAGAATCCACGTTGCATGAGGTCCAGTGTAAAGTTTCCACCGTCAGTGATGGTGTGGGGTGCCATGTCATCTGCCGGTGTTGGCCCACTCTGTTTCCTGAGGTCCAGGGTCAATGCAGCCGTCTACCAGGAAGTTTTAGAGCACTTCATGCTTCCTGCTGCTGACCAACTTTATGGGGATGCAGACTTCACCTTTCAACAGGACTTGGCACCTGCACACAGTGCCAAAACCACCAGCACCTGGTTCAAGGACCATGGTATCCCTGTCCTTGATTGGCCAGCAAACTCGCCTGACCTTAACCCCATAGAAAATCTATGGGGTATTGTGAAGCGGAGGATGCAATACGCTAGACCCAACAATGCAGAGGAGCTGAAGACGACTATCAGAGCAACCTGGGCTCTCATAACACCTGAGCAGTGCCACAGACTGATCGAGTCCATGCCACGCCGCATTACTGCAGTTATTGAGGCAAAAGGAGCCCCGACTAAGTATTGAGTGCTATACATGCACATTCTTTTCATGTTCATTCTTTTCAGTTGGCCAACATTAGAGAAACAAACATTTTTTCATTGGCCTTTAGAATATTCTAATTTTCTGAGATACCAGATTTGATGTTTTCATTGGTTGTCACCTATAAATATCAAAATTAAACGTAATGAACATTGGAAATACATTGGTCTGTGTGCATTGCATGAATATAATGTACAAGTTTCACGTTTTGAATGGAATTACTGAAATATTTTCAACCTTTTGATGATATTCTAATTTACTGGCCAGCACTTGTATTGCCATTTTTGCTACATTTGTCTGTCAAATAGCATAAACTGCCATTTCCCGTGCATTTGTCCGTCAAATAGCAAAATGTCAAATGTTAATTTGCCATTTCCCTCAAATGGAAAAACTGCCATTTCCCTACATTTTCGGTCAAATGGCAAATTATTGCCATTTTCTCTGCATTTGTCCGTCAAATAGCAAAATATTTCCCCTACATTTGTCTGTCAAATGTCAATTTGCCATTTACCCTGTCAGTCAAATGTCAATTTGCCATTCCCCCAACATTTGTCAGTCAAATGTCAATTTGCCATTTACCCTACATTTGTCAGTCAACTGTCAATTTGCCATTTACCCTACATTTTCGGTCAAATGGCAAATTGTTGCCATTTTCTCTACATTTGTCCCTAAAATGGAAAAACTGCCATTTCCCGTACATTTGTCCGTCAAATGGCAAAGTATTGCCATTTCTCGTACATTTGGCCGTCAAAGGGCAAAGTATTGCCATTTCACCTTCATTTGTCTGTCAAATGGCACAAACTGCCATTTCCCGTACAATTGTCCGTCAAATGGCAAAGTATTGCCATTTCCACTTCATCGGTCCGTTAAATGGCAAAAAATGCCATTTCCCCCCTACATTTGTCCGTCAAATAGCAACAATTGCCATTTCCCCAACATTTGTCTGTCAAATAACAAAATATTGCCATTTCCCCTACATTTATCTGTCAAATGGCAAAATATTGCCATTTTTCCTACATTTGTCAGTCAAATGGCAAAATATTGCCATTTTTCCTACATTTGTCAGTCAAATGGCAATGTGCCATTCGCCCTACATTTGTCTATCAAATGGCAAATAATTGCCATTTCCCCTTTACCCTCTCCCCAGTGCTCTGAATGTCAAAGTGAAGAAATTCAATGGAGCGCGGGTAAACGGCGGGACTAACTAGGACTCTCTTAAGGTAGCCAAATGCCTCGTCAATTAATTAGTGACACACATGAATGGATGAGCGAGATTCCCACTGTCCCTACCTCCTTTGGTCGTATAAGAGCAATTTTAAAAGAACTTTATTTTTAAACGCAACATCAGAATGACATGATATTGATAAGGTATAACTGTGGGGTTGTGCACTGTTGATATAAAGTGGAGTGACCCTGTGGAAACAGCAACTTTCCATTTAAGAGCATTTTGAAATCACTGAAAATTAGGTCGTATATGGGCAATTTAAAAAAAACTTTATTTTGAAACGCAACATCAGAATGACATGATATTGATATGGTATCACTGTGGGATTGTGTACTGTTGATATAAAGTGGAGTTACCCTGTGGAAACAGCAACTTTCCCTTTAAGAGCATTTTGAAATCGTCAAAGGTATGTAAATTATGGACAATTGTAAAAGGCCTTTATTTTGAAACGCAACATCAGAATGACATGATATTGATATGGTATCACTGTGGGGTTGTGTACTGTTGATATAAAGTGGAGTTACCCTGTGGAAACAGCAACTTTCCCTTTTAGAGCATTTTGAAATCGTTAAAGTTTGGTTGTATATGGGCAATTTAAAAAAAACTTTACTTTGAAACGCAACATCAGAATGACATGATATTGATATGATATCACTGTGGGGTTGTGTACTGTTGATATAAAGTGGAGTTATTTTGTGGAAACAGCAACTTTCCATTTTAGAGCATTTTGAAATCGTTTAAGTTTGGTCGTATATGGACAATTTTAAAAGGCCTTTATTTTGAAACGCAACATCAGAATGACATGATATTGATATGGTATCACTGTGGGGTTGTGTACTATTGATATAAAGTGGATTTACCCTGTGGAAACACCAATTTTCCCTTTTAGAGCATTTTGAAATCGTTAAAATTTGGTCGTATATGGACAATTTTAAAAGGCCTTTATTTTGAAACGCAACATCAGAATGACAAGATATTGATATGGTATCACTGTGGGGTTGTGTACTTTTGATCTAAAGTGGAGTTACCCTGTGGAAACAGCAACTTTCCATTTTAGAGCATTTTGAATTCGTTAAAGTTTGGTCATATATGGGCAATTTTAAAATAACTTTATTTTGAAACGCAACATCAGAATGACATGATATTGATATGGTATCACTGTGGGGTTGTGTACTGTTGATATAAAGTGGAGTTACCCTGTGGAAACAGCAACTTTCCATTTTATAGCATTTTGAAATCGTTAAAGTTTGGTGGTATATGGGCAATTTAAAAAAAAACTTTATTTTGAAACGCAACATCAGAATGACATGATATTGATATGGTATCACTGTGGGATTGTGTACTGTTGATATAAAGTGGAGTTACCCAGTGGAAACAGCAACTTTCCATTTTAGAGCATTTTGAAATTGTTAAAGTTTGGCTGTATATGGACAATTTTAAAAGGCCTTTAATTTGAAACACAACATCAGAATGGCATGATATTGATATGGTATCACTGTGGGATTGTGTACTGTTGATATAAAGTGGAGTTACCCTGTGGAAACAGCAACTTTCCATTTTAGAGCATTTTGAAATCACTGAAAATTAAGGCGTATATGGGCAACTTTAAAAGGCCTTTATTTTGAAATGCAACATCAGAATGTCTTGATATTCATATGGTATCACTGTGGGGTTGTGTACTGTTGATATAAAGTGGAGTTACCCTGTGGAAACAGCAACTTTCCCTTTTAGAGCATTTTGAAATCGTTAAAGGTATGTAAAATATGGACAATTGTAAAAGGCCTTTATTTTGAAACGCAACATCAGAATGACATGATATTCATATGGTATCACTGTGGGGTTGTGTACTGTTGATATAAAGTGGAGTTACCCTGTGGAAACAGCAACTTTCCATTTTAGAGCATTTTGAAATCGTTAAAGTTTGGTCGTATATGGACAATTTTAAAAGGCCTTTATTTTGAAACGCAACATCAGAATGACAAGATATTGATAAGGTATCACTGTGGGGTTGTGTACTGTTGATATAAAGTGGAGTTACCCTGTGGAAACAGCAACTTTCCATTTTAGAGCATTTTGAAATCGTTAAAGTTTGGTTGTATATGGACAATTTTAAAAGGCCTTTATTTTGAAACGCAACATCAGAATGACATGATATTCATATGGTATCACTGTGGGGTTGTGTACTGTTGATATAAAGTGGATTTACCCTGTGGAAAAAGCAACTTTCCATTTTAGAGCATTTTGAAATCGTTAAAATTTGGTCGTATATGGACAATTTTAAAAGGCCTTTATTTTGAAACGCAACATCAGAATGACAAGATATTGATATGGTATCACTGTGGGGTTGTGTACTGTTGATCTAAAGTGGAGTTACCCTGTGGAAACAGCAACTTTCCATTTTAGAGCATTTTGAATTCGTTAAAGTTTGGTCATATATGGGCAATTTTAAAATAACTTTATTTTGAAACGCAACATCAAAATGACATGATATTGATATGGTATCACTGTGGGGTTGTGTACTGTTGATATAAAGTGGAGTTACCCTGTGGAAACAGCAACTTTCCATTTTAGAGCATTTTGAAATCGTTAAAGTTTGGTTGTATATGGGCAATTTTAAAAAAAACTATATTTTGAAACGCAACATCAGAATGACATGATATTGATATGGTATCACTGTGGGATTGTGTACTGTTGATATAAAGTGGAGTTACCCTGTGGAAACAGCAACTTTCCATTTTAGAGCATTTTGAAATCGTTAAAGTTTGGTTGTATATGGACAATTTTAAAAGGCCTTTATTTTGAAACACAACATCAGAATGGCATGATATTGATATGGTATCACTGTGGGATTGTGTACTGTTGATATAAAGTGGAGTTACCCTGTGGAAACAGCAACTTTCCATTTTATAGCATTTTGAAATCGTTAAAGGTATGTAAAATATGGACAATTGTAAAAGGCCTTTATTTTGAAACGCAACATCAGAATGACATGATATTGATATGGTATCACTGTGGGGTTGTGTACTGTTGATATAAAGTGGAGTTACCCTGTGGAAACAGCAACTTTCCATTTTATAGCATTTTGAAATCGTAAAAGTTTGGTCGTATATGGACAATTGTAAAAGGCCTTTATTTTGAAACGCAACATCAGAATGACATGATATTGATATGGTATCACTGTGGGATTGTGTACTGTTGATATAAAGTGGAGTTACCCTGTGGAAACAGCAACTTTCCATTTTAGAGCATTTTGAAATCGTTAAAGGTATGTAAAATATGGACAATTGTAAAAGGCCTTTATTTTGAAACGCAACATCAGAATGACATGATATTGTTATGGTATCACTGTGGGGTTGTGTACTGTTGATATAAAGTGGAGTTACCCTGTGGAAACAGCAACTTTCCATTTTAGAGCATTTTGAAATCGTAAAAGTTTGGTCGTATATGGACAATTTTAAAAGGCCTTTATTTTGAAACGCAACATCAGAATGACATGATATTGATATGGTATCACTGTGGGGTTGTGTACTGTTGATATAAAGTGGAGTTACCCTGTGGAAACAGCAACTTTCCATTTTAGAGCATTTTGAAATCGTTAAAGTTTGGTCGTATATGGACAATTTTAAAAGGCCTTTATTTCGAAACGCAACATCAGAATGACATGATATTGATATGGTATCACTGTGGGGTTGTGTACTGTTGATATAAAGTGGAGTTACCCTGTGGAAACAGCAACTTTCCATTTTAGAGCATTTTGAAATCACTGAAAATTAGGTCGTATATGGACAATTGTAAAAGGCCTTTATTTTGAAACGCAACATCAGAATGACATGATATTCATATGGTATCACTGTGGGGTTGTGTATTGTTGATATAAAGTGGAGTTACCCTGTGGAAACAGCAACTTTCCATTTTAGAGCATTTTGAAATCGTTAAAGTTTGGTTGTATCTGGACAATTTAAAAAGGCCTTTATTTTGAAACGCAACATCAGAATGACGTGATATTGATATGGTATCAATGTGGGCTTGTGTACTGTTGATGTAAAGTGGAGTTACCCTGTGGAAACAGCAACTTTCCATTTTAGAGCTTTTTGAAATCGTTAAAAGAGTCGGTCAAAAATGGGCAATTTCAAATTGCTGTGGTTTGATAGTGTTGATACAAAATGCAACTGCTCTTTGGAAATATGACTTTTGCTTTTAAGAGCATTCTGAAGTCATTGAAAGAGTAGTTCACAAATGAAAATTCACAGGGCTTATACTTTGAAATCCAAAATAAGATTGCCTTGATATTGACAGGGTGCTAATTGTGAACAAGCCTAAATTATTTGTGATTATGTTCTTAAAATGATAATTCACTCGAAGTTGAATTTTATTTTGAAATCCGGTTTCCACATCCATTCCCGTAATAACTTGAATAGACGGGAAACAGAAAACAAACTGGAGGCTGGCTTGACACCAGTCCAAATGTCAGGGGGATTAGCCAGCCGCCGATGATCAAGGGAGCAAAACGCGCCATTTACAGGAACCGGGAAAACTGCCCGACAGAGCTTCATTTTCGCCAGCTTTCCACCTCTCTTCCCCCTGCGGCGTTGCCTCCTCCTCCAGGGCGGCGGCGCAGGAACACGGCACAGGTACGGAGGAACTGAAGCCAGAAAAGGGAGCAAAACCTTCTGTCCATCTCTATAAGATCCAGATACGGTTTTTGCAGAAAACTTGAGATCCAGGAGCTGTTGACGCTCATGTATCAGCAGAGAGTTTGCATCAAAAATAAAAACAGATAAAAACAATAAAATCAACAAAAGCTCTAACCCAAAACGGCAGACCAAGCACACTGGCGCCATTTTGATTTTTGACAGAAGCAGAACACAAAGCGCTGTAAAAAAAACGTGCAAAATGGAACAAAAAAAATGGCGTGAAAGGGGAACCGTTATAACGAGGAACCGCTGTACTGATGTTAGCTGATATTAGTTAGAAACAGTTTTTCTGTGTACAGATGTACATAAAAAACTGGAATTGCTCTGTTTTGTTTTTAGTTTCCAAGTTACATTTAAAGAGATGTTCTTGGAGTGTTCTGTTTTTGTTGGTCAACACAGAGGTGTCAGATCTGGTGTCAGTAGCCTGTCAGAGCATCTGTCAGTTAGTTCCCTTGCCAGCTTGTGTGTGTGTGGGGGGGGGGGGGGTCTGCAGTGTGTGAGATTCGGTGTGGATTCTGGAAGTTTTGACTTGTAATTTGTGGGGGTTTCCCACAGTGATGATGGTAATAAGCTGCAGTAATTTTGAAGAATGAACCAAGAATAAACTATATTAAGGCTTACTACTACTAGGCTAGCTATTACATATGAATATATATCTATATAAACATGCTAAACATGTATGCAATATTTTGTATGTGATTGAGAGCACCCTCTTACAAAGATATGTTGCCATGACACTGGTTATAGAAGAATGGGTAATTTCTTCTTCACGCCATCGTCCTGGAACTTCAGGTTGCCCCAGCTTGGAAGAGCCCATCTATTTTAAATATTATTTGGCTGGGTTTTCATAACAATGTCATTTTAACTGCATCTTCTTCTTGGACACTTGGAGCAGACAGTTTAAGTAAAAACCAGAAACAGACTCACAGAACACGATATTTACCCAAGATTTACTTACAGCAGATCCAGGTTTCAAGGGAGTGGCTGCTGGTAGAGGAGTCAGCACGTGTCCTCCCTAGAAGACAGGAACCCAGAAGCATCACGTAGTGCTCAGACACGTCCACCAGCCCAGAGCAGGACAACAGTGTTAAAATCACATACCGAGTGGGCTCAAGGTCGTGTCTTAACTACAAATGGATAAATAGGTTCTTGGTAATGGAAAAAGACATCAGAAGATCTAGTTTTTCTGGTGGGACTGACAACCAAGGGTGGACGTCTTGAAGCCCCTTTAGCCTAGCTATGCCTTCCTGGTACCAGGACCAAAACCCAAAAGGTGCTGAGTCTGGAGCTACAATGATGTTCTGCTGAGCTGTGGTGGTCTCATGGAGGGGGCCATCAGCTTGAACACTGTTGCTAACCACTTAAACATTCTCCCTGTCCTGATAATAACACTTTACCTTCTTTGATATTGAATGTGCTACTACTAGTTTACCTCACATTTGTCAAAAAAGCTCCACCAATAATCTGCTTCAGACCAAACCCAACTAACGGACCATCTGGTTGTCGGCCTTGTTGAATTGCCACACTTCCCTGGGTCCTCTACTCATTACACACTTGTGTATTCAGCAACAGAACACCTGAGTGAGAGGTTCTCCTCTCAATAGTTTCAGAGAAGTAGAAACAGCCGGCTGCTACCGCTTCAACTTTAGGACAAACTACCGGAGTCCCAAAAGGAAAAACACCATTTAACATCACGGACAACAAAAGATGAGACCTAGACCTAGAAAACAGTGACTGGTGTTAAGCACTCTCTCATTTCGTTTGGCGTCTCAAGGAAGATACCCAAGGTGATGGATGAGTGCTCCGTGACCACGTTTAACATCTAGCTTGTTCTGTAAAATTTGCTATAGCAACTTTAACACAGAGACTAGTCACACAGGACTTGAGAGAAACAGAGAGTGGTGTAAGGGTCCTCAGACACCTGCAGGTGTGTGACATGTCCTCGGATGCCAAAAAAACATGCTTTAGTTGAGGACAAAGAACAAGAACATGTCCCATGCTGAACAATATCTTCATCTTCATCTTTATTTGCTGTGTTACTAACTCTGGCTTTTTATCCCACCAGTACACAAGCCTAGGACAGCTCCAGCATTCTCCTGGTGCTGGCAACCTTTCAGCAGCATCGAGAGCAGCACACCTCTATCTCTCAACTCAGCTGAACGTCACTTGTAATCACCCAGCTGCAGCTCATATCCACACACACAGACAAGGTGAGCGAGGGAAGGAGACGGAGAGGCTCAGAGACAGAGAGGTTTGCTGAATTAGTTGCAATTATCCTTGCACTGACTTGGATGAATGAAAATGATGCAAATTGTAAAGAGAAAATGATCGTAGCTTCTGATAGTCAAGCAGTTCTACTCAGTATTCAAACAGGAAATCCATGCAGGAAAGACTTGTTGAATAACGTTTATCTCCTTCTGTTGCAGATAATGAACAAAAACATGAAGGTTATATACATTTATTTGGATTCCTGCCCATGTAGGTGTGGAAGGTAATGAAGAAGCTGATATTTTGGCCAAACAAGCACTAAGAACAGAAGAGACATGTCCCAATTAGTCGAGCAGAAGGGAAATCATATATTAATTTAAAAGTTTTACAACTGTGGCAGGACTGTTGGGATAGTAGTGATACTGGGAGACATTTGTATAATATTCACAATAGGGTTGCGTATAAGAGAATTACTGAGGGAAATCGTAGACAAGAATCGGTTTTGTCTAGATTGAGGATAGGTCGTACAGGTTTAAATAATTCACTCAAGAAAATTGGAAAACATCAGTCAGGTTTTTGTGATTATTGTGGACAACAAGAAACTATGAAACATGTTTTAATAGAACGTCAGCAATATGCGGAACAGAGAACTGGACTTAAATTCATCAGGGATAAGGAGAACAAGGTGTTATCACTTTGTTCCCTTTTGGGAGACTCAAGCATATTAATTAGGAAAGTGTTGATGCGATATTTGATGGGTACTAAACTATTTTTTCGAATTTAAAAGTATTGATTAATTAGCTGGAATTGGTAGGTTAGTGTTGTTCAATGTAAAGTTTCCTCTGATCATTTTATTGATGAGTAGTACTCCGGTTTGGTATGTGGCGGTAATGCCCCGAAACTGGTAGCCAACTGCCAATAATTTCAACAGAAGAAGAAGAAGACAGAGAGGTTTTGTACAGTTTGAAGAAACGTTGGTTTTGCTCTTAAATCTTTTACAACACTTGTGCCATAAAACCATTTGGGTTGTTGAGCGGGACTATTTGAAAACAATTCCCTCTTTGCAGGGCTCTTTAGTTTAGAAACTGAGCTAAGTCGGGCAGGTTGCTCTTTTGTTTGGTCAGTCCAGTTCTTCTAAGAACCATTTGTAAGTACTGTCGACTTTATTAAGGTTTCCTCCTCAGAGGTAAGGATGTTTAGTTTGATTTAACTAACAGCTTGATGGTATAAGTTTCCCTTTATTTGGTTACCCAGCAGTTTTGCATAGTTAGTTTTGTTTAGTTGAAGGGAAGTTTAGTTAACTTGAACAGTAAATGGTTTGTTTGTCTTAATTATTTTTATTATTTAATTCCAGGTAGCCTTACTGACTTTCATCTCCCATCTGGATGCTTTTTGTTATAAATAGTTTTACTAAAGGTGATTTGTTTCTGGTCTGTTTTAATCACCTTTCTTGTGTTAGACCTCCCGGGATTTCTGGTTGGGGTCTTACAGCAGTTGCTGGTGTATTTCAGCACAGCAGCACCACACACAGGCTGTACACCATTACTACAGCCAGTTGGGTCTAAATGTGCTGTTCACAACAGTATTTTTACAGATTGTTTTGGAAATCCTGCGTTAGCATGTAAATGTTGGCATGTAGACGAGATGATTACTGACGGTTTCTGTCTGCCAGAAGGTGTCGACCACAGGACATCTTTTCTCTCCCACCACGGAATAGTACCACAGCCAAGCCTCAGGGTTTATGGGCTCTCCCACTGTTCCCAAAACCTTCAGAGACTTCCTCTTGTACCTAAAGACAGAGTGTCACACAGATTAAAACCGTTGTTTGGCAACGTGATGAAAACACCCAGAAAAAAGCAGAAGTAGTGAGTAACAGCAGAGGAGATCCAACTGTTGAAGACTCAGACATGTAGCTACCCTAACCCTTAGCAGAAAGCTACTCCCTACTGCTGCAGGACATCAGGTGGTCTCTTCAATAGAACAAGAGGGTCCATGCTAGAAGCTGGTAAAGGTGCTGTACACACTTATCTGGAGCATTTGTTGCCATAGTGTTTGAAATGTTTTTACGTACTGATGTTAAATATACAGTGGGGCAAAAAGTATTTAGTCAGCCACCGATTGTGCAAGTTCTCCCACTTAAAATGATGACAGAGGTCAGTAATTTACATCATAGGTACACTTCAACTGTGAGAGACAGAATGTGAAAAATAATCCATGAATTCACATGGCAGGATTTTTAAAGAATTTATTTGTAAATCAGGGTGGAAAATAAGTATTTGGTCAATAACAAAAATTCAACTCAATACTTTGTAACATAACCTTTGTTGGCAATAACAGAGGTCAAACGATTACTATAGGTCTTTACCAGGTTTGCACACACAGTAGCTGGTATTTTGGCCCATTCCTCCATGCAGATCTTCTCGAGAGCAGTGATGTTTTGGGGCTGTCGCTGAGCAACACGGACTTTCAACTCCCTCCACAGATTTTCTATGGGGTTGAGGTCTGGAGACTGGCTAGGCCACTCCAGGACTTTCAAATGCTTCTTACGGAGCCACTCCTTTGTTGCCCGGGCGGTGTGTTTGGGATCATTGTCGTGTTGGAAGACCCAGCCACGTTTCATCTTCAAAGCTCTCACTGATGGAAGGAGGTTTTGGCTCAGAATCTCACGATACATGGCCCCCATTCATTCTGTCCTTAACACGGATCAGTCGTCCTGTCCCCTTAGCAGAAAAACAGCCCCAAAGCATGATGTTCCCACCCCCATGCTTCCCAGTAGGTATGGTGTTCTTGGGATGCAACTCAGTATTCTTCTTCCTCCAAACACGACGAGTTGAGTTTATACCAAAAAGTTCTACTTTGGTTTCATCTGACCACATGACATTCTCCCAATCCTCTGCTGTATCATCCATGTGCTCCCTGGCAAACTTCAGATGGGCCTGGACATGCACTGGCTTCAGCAGCAGAACACCTCTGGCACTGCAGGATTTGATTCCCTGCCGTTGTAGTGTGTTACTGATGGTGACCTTTGTTACTGTGGTCCCAGCTCTCTGCAGGTCATTCACCAGGTCCCCCCGTGTGGTTCTGGGATTCTTGCTCACCGTTCTCATGATCATTTTGACCCCACGGGATGAGATCTTGCGTGGAGCCCCAGATCGAGGGAGATTATCAGTGGTCTTGTATGTCTTCCATTTTCTGATAATTGCTCCCACAGTTGATTTTTTCACACCAAGCTGCTTGCCTATTGTAGATTCACTCTTCCCAGTCTGGTGCACACACACGCACGCACGCACGCACGCACGCACGCACACACACACACACACACACACACACACACACACACACACACACACACACACACACACACAGTAGCATGCTAGAATCATGTGAATGACTAATTTAACTACATTGAACTGCTTTAGTAGTAATTTAATCTCTTATTCTGGAGTAAAATAAAGAAACAAGCTAAAGCATCACATATCTGTGGCATCAAGAAGCATCTTCTGAGTTCAAACTCAGGGATGGAGCACAATGTTTACACCTGAACAGTATCAGGATGCTTTAACTCACGGAGGCCTGCAGGTCTTCTGTTTTATGAGCAAAGCGCTGAGAATCCGCTTGTTATGAGCGCTAAACGTTATTATTCTGCCGCTTCCGTGCGGAGCGGTAGGGAAACATATTTCAAACACGGAACCGAGTTCGGCTACCGAACCGAGCTGAATCCTGATGACGTCACACCGGTGCACGAAGGTGCGGGTTGCAACCCACAGGAGAGGAGGGAGAGAGGAGGTAAACAGCGAGTGACTCACAGGGACTGAACTGATGTTTTGGAGCAGAAGTGTACACCCCCGCACCCCCCATGGTTTAGACGTGGCGCTCATGCAGGTGTCTCTTTCTGTTCCGATGCTGCTACTCGCAATGTCTTTAATTTATTAAGCCTATAGTTTGTTTTTACTCAGAAACGGACATGATTTAAAATGTAGCGAATTACAATTCTTCTTTAAAAAACATACTCCCAGAATAAACATACTCCCTGAATAAACATGGTCCCTGAATAAACATGGTCCCTGAATAAACATGGTCCCTGAATAAACATGGTCCCTGAATAAACATGGTCCCTGAATAAACATACTCCCTGAATAAACATGGTCCCTGAATAAACATGGTCCCTGAATAAACATGGTCCCTGAATAAACATGGTCCCTGAATAAACATACTCCCTGAATAAACATGGTCCCTGAATAAACATACTCCCTGAATAAACATGGTCCCTGAATAAACATGGTCCCTGAATAAACATGGTCCCTGAATAAACATACTCACTGAATAAACATGGTCCCTGAATAAACATGGTCCCTGAATAAACATGGTCCCTGAATAAACATACTCCCTGAATAAACATGGTCCCTGAATAAACATACTCCCTGAATAAACATGGTCCCTGAATAAACATGTTCCCTGAATAAACATGGTCCCTGAATAAACATGGTCCCTGAATAAACATGGTCCCTGAATAAACATGGTCCCTGAATAAACATGGTCCCTGAATAAACATACTCCCTGAATAAACATGGTCCCTGAATAAACATGGTCCCTGAATAAACATACTCCCTGAATAAACATGGTCCCTGAATAAACACATGTTCCCTGAATAAACATGGTCCCTGAATAAACATGGTCCCTGAATAAACATGGTCCTGGTCCCTGAATAAACATGGTCCCTGAATAAACATGGTCCCTGAATAAACATGGTCCCTGAATAAACATACTCCCTGAATAAACATGGTCCCTGAATAAACATGGTCCCTGAATAAACATACTCCCTGAATAAACATACTCCCTGAATAAACATGGTCCCTGAATAAACATGGTCCCTGAATAAACATACTCCCTGAATAAACATACTCCCTGAATAAACATGGTCCCTGAATAAACATGGTCCCTGAATAAACATGGTCCCTGAATAAACATACTCCCTGAATAAACATGGTCCCTGAATAAACATGGTCCCTGAATAAACATGGTCCCTGAATAAACATACTCCCTGAATAAACATGGTTCCTGAATAAACATGGTCCCTGAATAAACATACTCCCTGAATAAACATACTCCCTGAATAAACATACTCCCTGAATAAACATGGTCCCTGAATAAACATGGTCCCTGAATAAACATACTCCCTGAATAAACATGGTCCCTGAATAAACATGGTCCCTGAATAAACATACTCCCTGAATAAACATGGTCCCTGAATAAACATACTCCCTGAATAAACATGGTCCCTGAATAAACATGGTCCCTGAATAAACATGGTCCCTGAATAAACATGCTCCCTGAATAAACATGTTCCCTGAATAAACATGGTCCCTGAATAAACATGGTCCCTGAATAAACATGGTCCCTGAATAAACATGGTTCCTGAATAAACATACTCCCTGAATAAACATACTCCCTGAATAAACATACTCCCTGAATAAACATGGTCCCTGAATAAACATACTCCCTGAATAAACATACTCCCTGAATAAACATGGTCCCTGAATAAACATACTCCCTGAATAAACATACTCCCTGAATAAACATACTCCCTGAATAAACATGGTCCCTGAATAAACATGGTCCCTGAATAAACATGGACCCTGAATAAACATGGTCCCTGAATAAACATGGTCCCTGAATAAACATGGTCCCTGAATAAACATGGTCCCTGAATAAACATGGTCCCTGAAAAAACATACTCCCTGAATAAACATGGTCCCTGAATAAACATGGTCCCTGAATAAACATGGTCCCTGAATAAACATACTCCCTGAATAAACATACTCCCTGAATAAACATACTCCCTGAATAAACATGGTCCCTGAATAAACATACTCCCTGAATAAACATACTCCCTGAATAAACATGGTCCCTGAATAAACATGGTCCCTGAATAAACATACTCCCTGAATAAACATACTCCCTGAATAAACATGGTCCCTGAATAAACATGGTCCCTGAATAAACATGGTCCCTGAATAAACATGGACCCTGAATAAACATGGTCCCTGAATAAACATGGTCCCTGAATAAACATGGTCCCTGAATAAACATACTCCCTGAATAAACATACTCCCTGAATAAACATACTCCCTGAATAAACATGGTCCCTGAATAAACATACTCCCTGAATAAACATACTCCCTGAATAAACATGGTCCCTGAATAAACATGGTCCCTGAATAAACATACTCCCTGAATAAACATACTCCCTGAATAAACATGGTCCCTGAATAAACATGGTCCCTGAATAAACATACTCCCTGAATAAACATGGTCCCTGAATAAACATGGTCCCTGAATAAACATGGTCCCTGAATAAACATGGTCCCTGAATAAACATGGTCCCTGAATAAACATGGTCCCTGAATAAACATACTCCCTGAATAAACATGGTCCCTGAATAAACATGGTCCCTGAATAAACATGGTCCCTGAATAAACATGGTCCCTGAATAAACATGGTCCCTGAATAAACATACTCCCTGAATAAACATGGTCCCTGAATAAACATACTCCCTGAATAAACATGGTCCCTGAATAAACATGGTCCCTGAATAAACATGGTCCCTGAATAAACATACTCACTGAATAAACATGGTCCCTGAATAAACATGGTCCCTGAATAAACATGGTCCCTGAATAAACATACTCCCTGAATAAACATGGTCCCTGAATAAACATGGTCCCTGAATAAACATGGTCCCTGAATAAACATACTCCCTGAATAAACATGGTCCCTGAATAAACATGTTCCCTGAATAAACATGGTCCCTGAATAAACATGGTCCCTGAATAAACATGGTCCCTGAATAAACATGGTCCCTGAATAAACATGGTCCCTGAATAAACATACTCCCTGAATAAACATGGTCCCTGAATAAACATGGTCCCTGAATAAACATACTCCCTGAATAAACATACTCCCTGAATAAACATGGTCCCTGAATAAACATGTTCCCTGAATAAACATGGTCCCTGAATAAACATGGTCCCTGAATAAACATGGTCCCTGAATAAACATGGTCCCTGAATAAACATGGTCCCTGAATAAACATACTCCCTGAATAAACATGGTCCCTGAATAAACATGGTCCCTGAATAAACATACTCCCTGAATAAACATACTCCCTGAATAAACATGGTCCCTGAATAAACATGGTCCCTGAATAAACATACTCCCTGAATAAACATGGTCCCTGAATAAACATACTCCCTGAATAAACATGGTCCCTGAATAAACATGGTCCCTGAATAAACATGGTCCCTGAATAAACATACTCCCTGAATAAACATGGTCCCTGAATAAACATGGTCCCTGAATAAACATGGTCCCTGAATAAACATACTCCCTGAATAAACATGGTCCCTGAATAAACATGGTCCCTGAATAAACATACTCCCTGAATAAACATACTCCCTGAATAAACATACCCCCTGAATAAACATACTCCCTGAATAAACATGGTCCCTGAATAAACATGGTCCCTGAATAAACATACTCCCTGAATAAACATACTCCCTGAATAAACATGGTCCCTGAATAAACATGGTCCCTGAATAAACATACTCCCTGAATAAACATGGTCCCTGAATAAACATACTCCCTGAATAAACATGGTCCCTGAATAAACATGGTCCCTGAATAAACATACTCCCTGAATAAACATGGTCCCTGAATAAACATGGTCCCTGAATAAACATGGTCCCTGAATAAACATGGTCCCTGAATAAACATGGTTCCTGAATAAACATACTCCCTGAATAAACATACTCCCTGAATAAACATACTCCCTGAATAAACATGGTCCCTGAATAAACATACTCCCTGAATAAACATACTCCCTGAATAAACATGGTCCCTGAATAAACATGGTCCCTGAATAAACATACTCCCTGAATAAACATGGTCCCTGAATAAACATGGTCCCTGAATAAACATGGTCCCTGAATAAACATGGACCCTGAATAAACATGGTCCCTGAATAAACATGGTCCCTGAATAAACATGGTCCCTGAATAAACATGGTCCCTGAATAAACATGGTCCCTGAATAAACATGGTCCCTGAATAAACATACTCCCTGAATAAACATACTCCCTGAATAAACATACTCCCTGAATAAACATGGTCCCTGAATAAACATACTCCCTGAATAAACATACTCCCTGAATAAACATGGTCCCTGAATAAACATGGTCCCTGAATAAACATACTCCCTGAATAAACATACTCCCTGAATAAACATGGTCCCTGAATAAACATGGTCCCTGAATAAACATGGTCCCTGAATAAACATGGACCCTGAATAAACATGGTCCCTGAATAAACATGGTCCCTGAATAAACATGGTCCCTGAATAAACATGGTCCCTGAATAGACATGGTCCCTGAATAAACATACTCCCTGAATAAACATACTCCCTGAATAAACATACTCCCTGAATAAACATACTCCCTGAATAAACATACTCCCTGAATAAACATGGTCCCTGAATAAACATGGTCCCTGAATAAACATACTCCCTGAATAAACATACTCCCTGAATAAACATGGTCCCTGAATAAACATGGTCCCTGAATAAACATGGTCCCTGAATAAACATGGTCCCTGAATAAACATACTCCCTGAATAAACATGGTCCCTGAATAAACATACTCCCTGAATAAACATGGTCCCTGAATAAACATGGTCCCTGAATAAACATGGTCCCTGAATAAACATGGTCCCTGAATAAACATGTTCCCTGAATAAACATACTCCCTGAATAAACATACTCCCTGAATAAACATGGTCCCTGAATAAACATGGTCCCTGAATAAACATGGTCCCTGAATAAACATGGACCCTGAATAAACATGGTCCCTGAATAAACATGGTCCCTGAATAAACATGGTCCCTGAATAAACATACTCCCTGAATAAACATGGTCCCTGAATAAACATGGTCCCTGAATAAACATGGTCCCTGAATAAACATACTCCCTGAATAAACATACTCCCTGAATAAACATGGTCCCTGAATAAACATACTCCCTGAATAAACATGGTCCCTGAATAAACATGGTCCCTGAATAAACATGGTCCCTGAATAAACATGGACCCTGAATAAACATGGTCCCTGAATAAACATGGTCCCTGAATAAACATGGTCCCTGAATAAACATGGTCCCTGAATAAACATACTCCCTGAATAAACATGGTCCCTGAATAAACATACTCCCTGAATAAACATGGTCCCTGAATAAACATGGTCCCTGAATAAACATGGTCCCTGAATAAACATACTCCCTGAATAAACATGTTCCCTGAATAAACATACTCCCTGAATAAACATACTCCCTGAATAAACATGGTCCCTGAATAAACATGGTCCCTGAATAAACATGGTCCCTGAATAAACATGGTCCCTGAATAAACATACTCCCTGAATAAACATGTTCCCTGAATAAACATACTCCCTGAATAAACATACTCCCTGAATAAACATGGTCCCTGAATAAACATGGTCCCTGAATAAACATGGTCCCTGAATAAACATGGTCCCTGAATAAACATACTCCCTGAATAAACATACTCCCTGAATAAACATGGTCCCTGAATAAACATGGTCCCTGAATAAACATACTCCCTGAATAAACATGGTCCCTGAATAAACATGGTCCCTGAATAAACATACACCCTGAATAAACATGGTCCCTGAATAAACATACTCCCTGAATAAACATACTCCCTGAATAAACATGGTCCCTGAATAAACATGGTCCCTGAATAAACATGGTCCCTGAATAAACATGGTCCCTGAATAAACATAGTCCCTGAATAAACATGGTCCCTGAATAAACATGGTCCCTGAATAAACATACTCCCTGAATAAACATACTCCCTGAATAAACATGGTCCCTGAATAAACATACTCCCTGAATAAACATGGTCCCTGAATAAACAAGTTCCCTGAATAAGTAAAGTAACTAGAATCTTCTCATTAAACACTGAAAGATCAATCAGATTGATATTTCATATTTATATGGAATCATCACATCTTATTGGTCATTTTAATAAATATGTAGCAATCATCAACACTACAGAGTGAATGGGTGAATGACTGATTGTGTTGTAAAGCGCCTTGGGGGGTTCCAGGGCTCTAGAAGGCGCTATATCAGATACAGGCCATTTACCATTTCATTGACTCTTGTGCGATCGTCAGGCGCTTCCAGAAGAATTTGATACTTTTGATGAAAATGCATCAAAATGCAGAAATTATGACTACACACATATGTAACACTATTAAACACTCATTTATACAAGTTACCAGCAGAAAAAATGTTGATTTTGGTGCGACTTGCTCTTTAAACAGTTATTGGACACTTTCTGTAAACCCCATGAACTTTGTTTCATTTCTCACATATCACTGTGTGTTCGTCCTTTATGAGATATTGAACTGGAAATGTTACCGTAATAACCAACAATTTATACAGAAAAATCGTGAAGATTAACAAGGCTGCCCAAACGTTCCCATCCCACTGTAAATATTAAACAAAGTAGTCTTGATGTAACGAAAAGAAACAGACATAATTCATGAAAATTCTTCACTCACTTCTGAACAGGTTCATTGCCAAATTTCATCAGCAGCCTGATGGCGGTCGGAGCCGTGTAGAACTTGGTAACATGGTATTTGTCCACGATGTCCCACATTCGGCTCACATCAGGGTACGTAGGCAGACCCTCAAACTGGAACACACACATCAGGATAGAAATCAGCGCTACAGGTCCCTCACACATGCAGGTGTGTGACACGTTCTCAGACACCTGAAGGCGTGTGACAAGTCCTTGGACATCTGCAGGTGTGGGACTTGCTCACATGTCTGCAGTCTTTGAACTCGTATGTTTACAGGCCTACAAACTCAACACAGGACAATAGATGTGGTGCACTGGATCGGTCAAAGCAGAGGTGTCAAAAGTATTCCCACTCATTACTCAGAAGTATAGATAGTAGCGTTGAAAATAACTCTTGTATCTTTACAAGCCCTTTACTCGAGTGAGATTTTAAATTACTGGTTTCAAAACTACTTAAAAGTATAAAAGTAGAACAAATGTAAATGAATAAATTAAATGGGAGTAACGAGACAGTCAGTAGAAGTGGTGCTCTGCACCAAGACGGTAAAACTCCCATAAAAGTGAGTGTACAGTGATCCCTCGCTACTTCGCGGTTCGTTTATAGCAGATTCACGACTTAGCAGATTTTTTCTTTGGAGCATTATTCAAGGGAAATTCGCCGATTTGCGGTATTTTTCTATATGAAATATCAAGAAATTCCTGGTTTTTTCATCAATTTAATCATAAAATGCACTTTTTGTAATAAAACTATAAAAAAAACAAGTAAAAAATTTTTTTTCTTGAGTTTTACCCACAAAAAGAGAATGTGATCATACGATAATTCAATATAGTACTGTACTGTAAATATGGTGTCCCTACGTCGCGGATTTTCACATATCGCGGCCAGGTCTGGAACGCATCTACCGTGATAAACAAGGGATCACTGTATATTGGTACTACCAGGGAGACAAAGATGTTAACATGAAAACATTTTTAGAACTGTTACAGTAACATCAAAACCAAATCAAGCATGAGAAGACAAAGCTGGAACCAGTGGAAAAGTAAATGTTACCAGATTATATCTAATCTTTGTTCCTCAGACAGTTTTGAGTTTGTAAATACAAGAGAGCATCTTTCCTCACCAGGACGCTGGTGGCCCCATTGGCCAGAGGGCCATAAGTAATGTAGGAGTGTCCGGTTATCCAGCCGATGTCTGCAGTGCACCAGTAGATGTCATCAGGTTGGTGGTCAAACACCAGCTTAAAGGTGGTGGCGGTGTAGAGCATGTAGCCACTGACTGTGTGAAGAACTCCCTGAGCAGAGAAACACAAACGTGTCCAATGGGACTGAGTAGGACTCCTCTGTCCTGTCAGTGTGTGTGCCTGCATATTTATAGTAACATTTACAGTGAGTACGAAAGCTATTCAGACCCTCGTCAAATTTTCACTCTGTTAGACATTTGCTGAAATCAATTCAATTCATTTTTTCCACATTAATGTACACACAGCGTTCCACACTGACAGAAAAACACAGTATTTTATAAATGTATGCAGATTTACTAAAAAACACAAACTGAAGTATCACATTATCCTTAGTATTCAAGTAACCCTTAGTAACCCTAACCCTTCGCTTTGATGCTCATACATTCAACTCGGGTGCTTTCCATTTCTACTGATCATCCTTGAGAGGATCCTACACCTTCATTGGAGTCCAGCTGCATTTGATTATACTGACTGGACTGAAGCCACACACCTGTACCGTAGCTTACAGCTCACAACGCATGTCAGAGCAAATGAGAATGGTGAGGTCAAATGTACTGCCTGAACAGCAAGGAACGGATCTGGCCATGGTTACAAAACATCTTTGCTGCACTTAGGAACCTTTAGAACACGGTTGTCTCCATGATCTTTGAATGGAATACATTTGAGATGACCAGAACCCTTCCCAGAGCAGGATTTCCGGCCAAACTGAGCTACCAGGAGAGAAGAGCCTTGGTCAGAGAGGTAAAGAAGAAACCAAAGATCAGGGTGGCTGAGCTCCAGAGATGGAGATGCGAGAATGTTGTAGAAACTCAACCTTCACTGCAGCTCTCCACCAGTCAGGGCTTTATGGCAGAGTGGCCCGTAGGAAGCTTCTACTCAGTGCAAGACACATGAAATCCAGCATGGAAGTTTGCTAAAAGATACCTGAAGGGCCCCAAGATGGTGAGAAATAAGACTCTCTGGTCTGGTGAGACCAAGATAAAACTTTCTGACCTTAATTCTAAGAGGTTAGGGTGGTGCAAACCAGGCACTGTTAATATCTTGTCCAATACAGTCCCCACAGTGAAGTATGGCGGTGGCAGCATCATGCAGTGGGGCAGTTTTTCAGCTGCAGGGACAGGACGACTGGTTGCGGTCAGGGGAACAATGAACACGTCCAAAAACAGGGATATCCTGGACAAGAACCCTCTCCAGAGTGCTCCATCTCAGGAACGTTGCTAAGCTGAGTCCCATTCTGTCCCGCTCTGAACTTGAGACAGTTCTCCACACCTTCATCTCCTCACGCTTAGACTACTGTAACTCTCTTTTCACGTGTCTGAGCAGAACCTCCCTGAACCGTCTACAGGTGGTTCAGAATGCCTGTGCTTTCTGACCAAGTCCTCCAAACACACCCACATCACCCCGCTTCTCCTCCAGCTTCACTGGCTGCCAGTCAACTTCAGGGTTCATTTCAAGATCCTGGTTCTGGTCTATAGGGCCTTACATGGACAAGCACCATCTTACATTGGTGATCTTCTTAGTCCCTACACCCCCAGCAGGTCCCTGAGGTCCAGTGACCAAAAGCCCCATTCCCACCTGTACCGGGTCGGCCCGGGCCGGGTAGCGTAGGTTGTTTACATATCTGGGTGGCCTGGTATTTTTCCGGGCCAACCAAGGCTCATTCTCAACCCTCTTCTCGAGGGAGTCTGCTTCAGGCCGACCAGGGCCGACACACCCACTGCTGACAGCAAATTCACACCTTCCATTAGAGCAAGCCTCTGATTGGTGGGTAGAATCAGCCCATTCACACCTTCCATTAGAGCAAGCCTCTGATTGGTGGGTAGAATCAGCCCACATGGGCTTAAGACAAGGATGTGTGGAATCAACCGGGCCAGGCTGGGGCCGACTGGGGCTACCCGGCCCGGGCCGACCCGGTACAGATGGGAATGGCCCAAAAGTCTACTGGTTGTGCAGCACCAGGCTAAAGGTCAAAGGTGACAGATCATCTGCTGAATATGTGAATTTCCACCAACAGCAATGGGAACTCATGTTTTCTCTTCTCACAGATCACAAAATCACGGTTTTCACAATTTTTCTGACGGTCTAAAAAGGTAGGTTAATTATTTTTAGTATAACTCCTGTTTAACTTGGGCTATTATAATATAATATAATATAATATAATATGATATAATAATAATAATATTATAATAACGGGCTAGAATTTTTTATACTTTATACCTTTATTTTTTGTTTTTGTGAAGCACCTCATGATTTTTATCTTGAGAGGCGCTATAGAAAACATTTTCTTTCTTTATGTGCGTGTAAATGTGTGTGTGTGGTCTGAAGAAGCAGAGTAAAAGAGAATACAATGCGTCAGTAAATGTGAAACATCTTAAACTAATAAACAAGTTTATTAATATTCAGTAGCATGTTTTCACATAAACCAGTAACATTTATCATTGAACCAGAAGACTAACAGGCACTAATTAGTCTTAACAAGTGAGAATTATGCATGGTGCAGTCGGCATGAAACACTCAAACTAAACAGGAACATTATAAAACACGATGGAAGTGACTTCTTGACTCATAAAATGCTCCCGTGATAATAATAAAGGTAAGTCTCGGTCGTATTTCAGCAGATTGCAGCGCAGGAGGGCACAGAACGGAGCAGCACAGCTAGCTCCAGCGAAGATGCGTTCAGGGACGCTCAGCTTTAAAAGCTTTCAGACAAGATTGATACCAAATCTTTATGAATCGATTGTGAATCTTAAGAAGTAATAAATGCAACTGGGAAGAGAATTGATTTTTAAGGCACTTTTAGTAAACAGTAATGTTTAAGAGTCATACATTAGTTGTGTGTGTGTGTGAGCTACCTTTGGTTTGCCGGTTGAGCCGCTGGTGTACAAAATAAAAAGAGGATCTTCAGATTCACACCACTCGGGCTCACACTCGTCCGAAGCACCTTTCATCAGCATGTGCCAACACAAGTCCACATCCGGGTTCCACGGCACCTGGTATAAACAACAGAGACATCCACTGGATGAAACATGTCTGGTGAAACGAAACAGTCCTCAGTTATAAAAAAAGATATGCATGTTAGTCGCCGAGCGCCAAAGACAACAAGCGACGGCACTCACACGTCACAAACAGATCTAGGCCTTTTCCAACAGCACTACTCAGCCTAAAACTGTGCAGCACAGCGTGGGTTAACTCAGCTCACCTCAGAGTAGTTCGTCTTCTCTGTCAGCTCGTGACAAAAAGTGGGTGCATCTTTACTCGAGACAATAGCATGAGGTGATCAGTAATTCTGCTGATCTGTATGCTACACAAAAACAACTCAGCTGAAAAATGGTGGTGTTGCTGGACATTCAGCTCAGGTTTATGTCTTTTTGTCAGACTCTGAACCAGGAAATGGCTGCAGGCAGCAGATCCGGAGCAACCAGCGACCCGGGGGGTGGTACTGAACCCTCCCCGAGTCATGCTGAGTAGTGTTGTTGGAGAAGGCCTAAAGCACCAGAGTACCTGTGGGAAGTGTTTTATTCTATTGGTCACTGAGATACTTCAGCTCCAGGGTTCATAAAGAACAGAATCCTAATGAAGGCTGGTGGTCAGTTTCATGAGTTAGCATGGAGGAAAATCAGATGTTTAGAATGATTTAAAGGATCTATATCATGAAAAAACTTACTTTTTTGGGCTTTTACCGTGTTATATTGTCATTTCCTCGTGAGAAATACACCCAAACCCTTTTTGGCTGCATTCATATATTTTTACTCAACTTCAATTTTTTTCTAATTAAATTTCAGAACTCCATTTAGGAGAAAGTAGCCCAAGTGTGTCATCAGGCCCTGCTCCTCCTCCTGAAGCTAGTCTCAGATCTGACACCCGCCTCTCCAGGAAGTAAGTCACTAATGCCCATTTTCTCCCAGTAGCGGGAATAGAGCGGTTGATTTCGTGCTGCAGTTGAGAATAAGACCTTTACGTCACAGATGGCTGCTTTAAACTTCCACCAGTAGCAGAGTGTATAATTCTGACTACTTACTTCTGCGCTGGGGACAAAACACCACCGTAAAATCCACGTGTCCTGTCCACAATAATGCACGTAATGGCCAGCACAGGACGTGCGTCTGAAGCGACTGTTTGGTAACTGACCTTGTAGCTCAGTGGTTAGAGTAACCGACTGATTTTTGCACAGGTTCAACTCCCAATCACAGCAGTAACCTTTTCCTTCTTTTTTGTTACACTCGTCAGTTTTATGTTTTCAACCCTTAGTTGGTAAACCGTTTCAAATAAAAGGACTAATCTGTATATATGTTTTCTTTCTTTATTTAGCCAGTACGAGTTCATGTGAGGTGAGCAGAGTATGAAACAAAACGCTGTTTGGAAATCACCAAATTCAAAAATGTTTAGAGACGCAAAATGTTTTTGCAGAAAATATTCAATAAAACTAAAATATAAATAAATAAAATCAGCTTCACCTGGCTAAATAAATTGCTGCAGTCAAACTGGCGTCAGCAGATGGCAAAACAAGGTGAAAGGCAGACGCTTAAACTACTGGACTACCAAGCCCAGTACACCAGCAGCCCTGCTGTTGCGTTTAGCCGCAGCGGGAGTGGGCAAAGTTTCAACGAAACAGACCGTTTTCATTTCCAGGAATAAATACGGGCTGACAAAAATACCTCATATTTAAAATGAATGACATCTCAGTAGTGCCAACAGTAATATTTCATCATGTATCGTGCCTTCCTTTGCTCTCAGAGATTTAAAAAAGCATGACGTGGCTCCTTGAACAGAGCAGGCAGAGGGATATGGTTGTAGCACGGCGAAGTACATGTCCTCCTAATTCCTTTAAGTGGTTCGCTTGCTCTTGGACTGGATCAGTAAGTCAATAGTTTATGGCTCTACCTTGTTTACTTTTATAGCTAAAACCAATAAATCAAGGCAATAAACATCCTTCTTAAACAGTAAACCTACTTACTCAGAATTCTGATTGCTTCCTGCAATTATCGTAATGAAGTAAGTAAGTAAGTAAAGTTTATTTATAGAGCGCCTTTCACTGATATAAATCACAAAGCGCTGTACAACTTGAGTAAAGATCAGGGCAAATACCTCAAACCAATAAAAACATCATAAAAACAATAGCAGTGACAACAATAGTGACCAAAATCAGGAGTAAAAACAAAGTCAAGGTGTGAACAAGAACAAAGCCATCTTTTAGAATATTTAGGGAGGGAACGCCTGGATGAAAAGGTGAGTTTTTTAGATGATTTTTAAAGACCTCTACAGTGTTAGAGAGACGGAGATTTGAAGGTAGACTGTTCCAAAGTCTGGGGGCAATAGTCTGAAAGGCCCTGTCCCCTTTGGTTTTCAGTCTGGTTCGAGGAACAGCCAGCAGGTTTTCAGATGTGGATCTAAGGTTCCGAGAGGTGGGTGTGTGGGGATAAAAGCTCAGATAGGTAGCTTGGAGCCTGGTTGTTAAGAGCTCTATAGGTCAGGACTAAAACTTTAAACTGTATTCTATATTCTACCGGGAGCCAGTGGAGGGACTGTAAACCTGGAGCGATGTGAGCTCGTCTGCTGGATTTGGTTAGGAGTCTGGCTGCTGCATTTTGGATGGCTTGAAGGCGTGAGAGGGAGGTTTTGCTGAGACCAGTAAAAAGAGCGTTACAGTAGTCTAAGCGTGATGACACAAAGGCATGGATGATTTTTTCCAGATCTGCAGTAGAAACCAGTTTACGGACTTTTGAAATGTTTCTCAGTTGGAAGAAACAAGAGCGGGAGATGGTTTTGACGTGTGAGTCTAAACTTAAAGCTGGATCAAAAATAACTCCCAGGTTTCTAATGTTGGCCTTGGCTGAAGGGCAAAAAGAGGCAATTTCCTGCTCGATTTTTGGCTGAAGTTCCGGGGATGCAAGCGATCAGGGTCTCCGTCTTGTTAGCATTTAAGACAAGAAAGTTGCTGGACAGCCAGTTACTGATCTGGGTCAGGCAGAGTACAAGTGTGGCCAGCCTGTCCAACTGGTGTGGCATGAAGGACATATAGAGCTGAATATCATCAGCATAGATGTGGTAGGAATGAAACACAGCTTGAGAGAAGAACTCTGGGTTCTCCGCTGCAAGAATGTTCAATAACGACATTTAACTTAACCTGTTCCAACGCACCATGTACGCACAAATCAGTCAGGTGAGAAGTAGCCAAAACTGTCAGGACAGGTAAAGAAACCCTTTCTTACCAATGAAATCCTTGCAGAGTAGAAGAAAAAGTGCCGAATTAACATCCTGATGGTGCACACTGCAATATTTTATTATTTACTGGGCCAATCTCTGCTCTGGAAGGTGTAAAATAGCATAATACAGGTCTATGGGGAGAAAAAAGTCTCAAAGGATCTGTGTCCATCTAGATTTGTGTGTGTAGATAGATCTAAGCATGCGTAACTTTTGATCTGTAACTTGTGTTCACCATTTCGTGTGCAACTTCATCTCCTACACATACAAATCCTTAAACACACACACACACACACACACACACACACACACACACACACACAAATGACCTGGTACACACCGACAAAATTACATTACACACAAATCAGTTCACAAGTACAAAAATCCTTTTGAGACTCTTTTCTCACCTGACTGATTCGTGCGTACATGGTGCGTTTGAATGCTGGGTGGAAGCTGGGAAAAGTGAATTTCCCAGCGTAGCAGTTTGCTTGCCCAAGACGCATCAAACTCACTGAAGTAAACAGTAACTTTGTTCATATTTCTTTCTTCTTTGAAAGGAGAAAAACTAGCAACCCCCCAGCCATCTGGTAAATAAAACCCATTTCTGTGTGACCTTCCTGTCTAACATCATTGAAACGTTAAGACTATAGAATTCTTACATATTGTTCCTTTAAACATGAGCAGAAGGAACAAAAAAACTCTTAAGCTGTTAAATGATAATAAGCTTCCATCACGTTGGAGCCACAATATGGAATGTGGCCTTTGTTCGAGAACTGAATGCTTTTATCCATCCGCCTGACACAGTGAAGAAGATTGATAAATATCTAGGTGTGTCTTTAGGTGATCCTACTGAAAAGATAAAGGTTGAAGTTTTAACTAATAGCATCACCAACAAAGATTTGTCAGGTGACCTGCAGGTGCAGCGTGGATAAAAGCCCTTCTGTCAAAATGGATTTTCACTCCAATACGAATCCAGACATTTGTTGTTGACTCATGGAGCCCAGAGTCGGGTCTTGGTTTGAATTTCAACGGCTGCTTGTGAGAATGGAATCATGCAGCATCATAGCTACCGTGTGGTTTTTCCAGGGAAGTGTTTGAAAGTTATTCAGCGTTCTCTAATTTAGCTGCTTCGTGTTGGGAACAAGTTCATCTCAAGGTAGAAAATGGTGTGTTTCCATCATTTGGACGAGCCTCTCCTGGCTAAGTGGGCATGCTAAGGTGTTTTTTCCAGGAGCAATACTCAGACCGATGCAGCTCCACCACACCACTGTTCCCAAGTGTTCTCCTCTTCTACTTTCTGATCACGTGACGTGTGACGTATGCAGACGAAGGTCGGCTTTAGAGCTGGGATGTTTTGTTCTCACGGTGCGGGGGCTCGTCCGACGCCCACACAGTAAAAAAATGCAAATGACGACTTTAGTCTTCATTGGCGGTGAA